TGGTTAGCCATCATCGATTTAGCAAATGATACTACCTTCAGTAGTGTTGGCGGGTTATTTGGGATACCATTTGTATTTTGTTTTTGCAAAATAGTCAGGCTTAATCCCAGTTTGTTGTTTTTATAAAAAAACAACTATTTATTAGTGGGAATGTATGGCATTGTCAGCCGAGGGGTAAGGCAGGGAAGACTATAGTTTCGGATCTCGCCACTGATCCTCATCAGTTCCCTTAGTTTTTTGTTGGGATATTCTCCCCAGAAGCTATTAATAGCTTCTTTGCAAAAAACCTTTCAAACCCAAATGTCTCTTGTGACAATTCGAAGTTCTTACGTTACCAGCGATACTACCCCAATGAGAAGTTCGTTTCGTTGGCGCCTGACTTCGTGGCCAACAAGGCATTTACAAACAACTACAATACATTTCCCACTGCTATGTGTCGTCACTTTGTGACGAATGCACATAACGTTGTTGATGGTATTGCTAGTTAAAGCAATAAACCAAACCGTATGACCGTGCCTCGTCTACAACTTCAGTAGTGTTGGCGGGTTATTTGGGATACCATTTGTATTTTGTTTTTGCAAAATAGTCAGGCTTAATCCCAGTTTGTTGTTTTTATAAAAAACAACTATTTATTAATAATTATGCCATCATTTTATCATTTGTAACAATTTTTACATAAAAATGTCTTTTAATTTTTATCAATAAAGATTTAGACTGCAAATCTCCTCCTCAAAAGCATATCCAAAGTTCACTATAGTATTGAAATTTCAATCCCCCAAAAATCTTCAAATCCCCGAACCAAAAAACTAATCCCCGTGTTCAACTAATTAGGGATAAGTCCCATAACTAGCAACACAGAATTTGCACCTACATCTATTGTCAAAAGTTGTACTTGGAGCGAAAATCTTATTTGGAAATTATTGTTTTTTTTCAATTGGGATTTCTGGACAGAAAAGTTTGAAACCATATGATTGTCACTTACACCTTATTGACCCTTTGAGCCCCGATTTTTTTCCGTAATCATAGAACAATTTTCTGTTCACAGATTTAATGCAACTATCCTAGATAGGATATGGACAAATTTTGACATTGCTACATTCTTGCATTCGGGAGATACAGTACATTTTTCCTAAAAAATAAAAGCCTAATATCAATAAAACCAAATGCAAAATCGACGAAAAAATCATTTTAAATTATTCTCTATATTCTGTTTTACAAGAATCAAAAATAATTCTGACGGCAGAGTTCGTATATTTCAAATACGAAGCGATTTAAATAATTTGGACTGTATACACAAATTAGTACTGTACACATTTTTTGCCCTCTTCTCCATATTAAAAAGCTCATAACTTTACCAAAAATTTGAATTTTTTAGATTTCTCTTGTGATATATGTCGTCCAAAATCAGGCCTTGACGTATGCAATCCAAAGAATATATATCTACTAGCAGTATATTAAATATTAGCTCTAAAACATTTTGTTGCCTGTGGGCAACATTGGCCCACAAAGGGTTAAATACACCTTGGTTATGAGCTTTTCAATATAGAGAAGATGATAAATATGTGTACAGTACTAACATGTGTATACAGTCAAAATTATTTAAATCGCTTCGTATTCAAATTGTACGAATTGTGCCATTAGAATTATTTTTGATTCTTGTAAAAAAGAATATAAGGAATAATATAAGATGATTTTTCTGTCGATTTTCTATTTGGTTTTCTTGACTTTTATTTTTCAAAAATAATGTACTGTATCTCCCAATTGCAAGGATGTAGCTATGTCAAATTGTGTCCATATACTATTTAGGATAGATGCATTAAATCCGTGAATAGAAATTTGTTATTTTATTACGGAAAATAATCGGGGCTCAATGGGTTAAAGTTATTTACACCGGCTTTAAGATAATTTGAAATGACCCTTTACACTTGTTTACAAAATGAAAAAAAAAACATCACGACATTTAAAATAAGAAATAAGATTCTACTTTAATTTTTATTTGAAATAATTTGATATTTACATTCAAGTAATTAGATTATTTGAGCTTGAGGTCTTTTTTTTATAAATTATTTTATTTATTGGAAAGATTTCCCAATATTTCGCAATTATCAAATTGCAACTTCAGGGGTGATATCTACATAATAATAGTCAGGTTTTCTTAATAGCTAATGTAGTTGTACTACAATTGTCTATAGTTGAAAGACAGGTGAAAAATGCAAAATCATTTCAGCCGCAATTTGAGAAACGCGAAGATGTGCGCAGTTTTTAACATTTATTTGATCATATGAATTTAACTATATAATGCAGAATGCATAGCGCCGATAATCATTATTATTGAGAAAACAAAGACATTGATACTTAAATTTAATATTTTTCAAAAAGTGGAGTTAATCTATGTATGAAGTATTCGTGAGTTACTTAAAATAAATGACGAAAAATTATGCCGTCTTTGGGAAATCCTGGTTTGAAATTGTATGTAAATGTGCTTAAACTGAGAATTCATCACCAAATATGAATGAGAAAAAGAGAACAAATGAGAGAACCCCTTTTAATTTACGCCAACGTATGATTTTGGAAAGTTTTGAGCATCAAAGAATTAAACCAGTAAGGCTCACGGTGAGAGGGTGTGGAACTAACAAAAGTAGTACAAAAAGCTGAGCGTAGTTACAAAAATTAAAGGGAAAATTTAATACGCATTTTATTTAAATGATTAAAACATGTGTACTTCAACCCGGATATTCTGAGTGTACTACATGTAGTTTTTAGTTTTCTGAGTTTATTGGACGTCAGATTCTGGAATAATTTTGCTGTGGCGCTTCAGGCGCTTGCCGAATGTAGTACGATCATAAAACGCATGACAAAATATTTTTTGGTTTGGGTTACGTTAATCAAGAAAGTTATTTTATAAATATATATTTAAATTATAATTTCGACCTTAATTATCAAATGGAAGGGTGGGCCTTCTTGATAGCAAAGCTTTGACTGGAAGTATTATTATCAGGCCTCAGTATTGGAATTGGAAAAAGCAAATGCTCCCTTCGCTGAAGAAAATATAAAGCTTGTTTGGGTGTTTCAGATTGACAATAACCTCAAAAATACATCGAAACATGTCATTTGGGGATTGGTTGCGGGAGTGAAAAAATCAGGGTTTTATTATGGCCAACACCACCATCAGATCTTCACCCTATAGAAAAATCTTTGTAGTATCATATATAGCAAAATAAAAAAAGAGTTTCACAACAGGTTACCAAAAATGCGAGGAAAAGTACACCCAAGGATCAAATTAAGCATCTTATAGATTCAATTGTCTCGTAAGTGAGCTACCGTAATAAAAAATAATGGTTACGCTGTCGATTAGTAGCAAAATTTACATATTTATAAGAAAAAATTAAAAAGTAGCTTTAGTTTTTTTCTCTCGATTAGTTTTCAGATTAGTTTTGTGTGTGTTTTAAGTGAATAAATTACCTATTTCTGCAAAAACTTTCACTATGTTTATTAAAGTTGCAGGTCATATATTCTGTCTGCAATTTCAGTTGCTTTAGTTTTGGCCACCAGGGTATACATATATATATATATAGAGGCGAATGAGCAAAAGTGTGCGAATATTGAAAAATTCCTGTATTAAAACATTATTTAATAACTTATTTACCATACTTAACAATATAATTATTACTTTGGCACGTATAAGAAAAAAAAAAACAAAATAATAAGCGATTTTTAATATTTTGTCAACAATCTACGTTCGTTTTTACACTTTTAATATATTCTTCACCAATTTTGTATGATTTCATCTGTGATTTTGTTACATTTAACTTGTGCACTTAGCCAGAGTCCACTCTTGTAGTTGGTGTTCTTTCATACACTAGATTAAGGGTTTAAACATGGGGTTTGCGCTGGCCATTTGACAAATTATTTTTTTTTTTTTGATTAGTCTCCACAAATTCTAGATAATATACTAATCTTTATTATACATTCTAAAACAGCGGACCACTGTTTCACCAATTAAAACAACCCCAAATCCAACACCAATCAGAACTACTATTCAATTTTAAATTTCAAAACTTATTTTCTCATGTTGTGGTTACAAATGAATGATCAAATTTGTTGTTGTTAGTAATACTAATGTCAACAACAGTTGACTGAAACCCGCAAACCAACATTCAAATTATCAACAAATTTTATATATTTTGAAAAATTAAATTGAAAAACATGAATGTCCGAGTCTCCTAGACGTTTTGCGCGTTGATACCATCAGCTTGGTCTTCTCGCCATTTACTGCCAGAACCACTTTGGCAGACTCCTTCTCAATTTGTTCAAAGGTGACTGTTACCGCTTGCAATGTTAGACCCATTATATTGATGTCGTCGGCGTAGGTGAATAACATGTGTTGTTTGGTGTTCAGAGTGCCATTTCAGTTCATCTTTGCCTCTCGTATGAAAATCTATCAAATTTTAATTTCAATCGCTTCCACATTTTTATAAACTATTTTGTCAAAATGCATTTTGTCGTGGAGAATAACAAAGAAACCAGGACCAAGAACCGAGCCCATTCATCATCATCACCATTAAAGTGGCCTTTGAATTGCCCCTTTATATGACGCTTCAAATTGCTTCAGGAGAAGGACAGGTTCGCACCAGCTGGTTGCAATACCATACACCCGTCAAAGTGAAGAAGGACAATGGAAGCGACTGAGGGTCTACGATCCGAAACGACCCAAGTCTTTCTCGGCCAACGTCTGTTACCTCAGTCTTTCTGATATATATTTAGCTATTAAGATATCCATATTGTTGCACGAATCTACATTAAAAATGATTTTATTAAATCCACTTGATCGATGAAAATAGAAATATATTGCATATTTTTACGTAATGAAAACAAACAAAAACAAAACGTTGAGATTTTTCACTCAATTTTCCATTTTTTAATAAAAGTCATATTCTAAACGCATACCTATTTCATTAATATGTAAATTAATAATTTACTTTCAATTGCCTTTTTTGTAGCCGGAGCCGCAGAAAGTAAATAAAGTCCAACCACCAGCACCTGGAGAACCACCTAAAATAGAAGTAATTCGTGAAAAGAGGCCGTCGTTAGTACCAGAACCTGCAAGTAGAAGAGGATCGTTGGTGCCACCAGATACAGGTCGAAGACCTTCCCTGATCATTGATGAGGTAGGATTAACATTATTAGCCTTAAATGGTATATTATTATTAAATACATATTCTACTGTAAAATTATTTGAATTTCTTTCACTACACGCCACAAATCAAACCAATCATATACATTTACTACAACATTACACGCAACAAACCTACAAATGCCCTTGTAATTGTAATTTAAATTGTTAATGTTTAAATAATTAGAAAAAACTTCGCCCGGGAGAAGTTATGGATACTAAGGTAAGATTCTGTTAATGTGTTTTGTAACATGCATACTCAAATAAATCTAGAGATCAGATAAGAGTCAGAAGAAACGTGTTTAAGTTGTCCTTTTAATTGTTATGAGCAAATAAATAAACTTATTGTATTACAATCTCTCACCGTAGAGAACAACGCTTCAATGGTAGGACTTAATATATATTACAAAATATATAATATTATATTTTGTAATATATATTAATATTATAAAAATACCATTAACATAATTGTTATTACAACTTACATTTATAGATTATAGAGGCAGATAATTTCAAAAATATTAATAAGTTGGTAATTGTTGCCACACGGGTCCTTGTAAGACTGGACAAAAATGGACGGGGTAGTTCAATCTTAATGAAATTTTGTACATGCAGTATGTGGGACTAAAGTATGAAAAATAAAAACTTTGGTACATATCGGTCCATGGATATAGCACCCATATATATTTTCGTCCGATTTGATATAAATGTTACACCAACCTCCAGAGGTTTATCCGATTGAGTCGAAATTTTGCATGTCTTATTGAATTCAGTCTAGAGTAGAGTGTGTTAAATTCCATTAAAATAGAATCTGATTTAGATATAGCTCCCATGTATATTTTCGTTTCCGCTTCAGAAGGGATGTCGCACTAACGTAGGAAAATAGTCCATGTGGCAATTTTTAGATATGCTTTATGGAATATGTCAAAAATATATTTTTCTATTATATTAAATTAAAAAATTCTTTATAACTTCGAACATATTCATTTTTTTTGCTAAAATATAATGTTTAGAGCTCTCTTATCAAATTCCAATTAAAAATTTTCCATATTATCAACAAGATTTTGAAATAAAATTGCCTGAAATGTTATTTATTTTTATAATGATTTTGATGTGTAAATTGCCTATGAAACATTTTTCATATTTATTAAGTTAACTTCATTATAGCATTTCATTTATCAACAAAATTCTTTCTGATTCATCATATCTGAACTATTCCCTATAAAATAAAACCATAAACATATAAAAATTTTAACATCACATATTTTGATTTTTGTCCACTAAGGCACACTGTGTGTTGGTGGAAATTTTACCAAATAAATATATTGCAATATAAATACATAAATAATGCATACTCTGTTTAGCGATTTCGGGATATAACGAATGAGTAAAATATTTTATGTAAGTAATGCGTTTGCCTAACAAAAAAAATATATGCGAATATGTTATTATTTTTATTCTCTTCACCATAGAATTACTTTCTGAGCCCATTTATGCATGTTCGTCCATCCATGTATTCTTATGAACAAAGTACAGATCGCATTTATGATCCGAATTAGATGAAATTTGGCACAGATCACCTTTTGGGCCAAGGTATAACCCTACTGAAATTTCAAATTTTAATTCAAATTTAGATAACTTGCAAGGTTTGTCTGATTGGGACAAAATTGTGCACAGAGTACTGATTGACGTATGTGAAGTTATGTTCAATATATATTTTTCGTCCGATTATATGTAAAGGGTGCACCAAACTGCCAAAGTTTGCCTTACAGGGACAAAATTTTAAGTATTAAGTATTGATTGGCGTAAGAGATTTTTTTAAGTCTGTTATATTTAGATGTAGCTCCCATAAATATTTTCTGCCAATTTTATGATGTGTGTTAAGTTTCGTTGTAATCGTTGCTGATTAAAATATAACTCTCATAAAATTTTGTTTGATTTTAAGTATATGGTGCACCAAACTTCCAAGGTTTGTCCGATTGAAATTATAAGAAGTGTTATCATATCATAAGAACAGAGGAAAATCCATCTATTAGAAATTGTTGACAAATCGATTGTCCTATCTTTATACCTTTAAGTATTTGGCAATGTATTTGTTAGGAATGCATTGAAATGTGAATTACCTTTTTTGTTTTTTTCTATAATTGTAACTCAAAAAAGATTACCAGGAAAAGTGACCGATATTTATAATTTGTAGTGGAGACATTTGGTACCCAAAAAGAACCCAATCTATCAAATTTCAGCTAATTCGGTTGACAAACGCGCCCAAGAACCCCAAAATACCAAAAAATTGGGGGTGCCTTTATATGGGACTACCCGAAAAAATGCTCCTATATTTATACTTTTTAGTGGAGAAATTTGGTACCCAATAAGAACCCATTGTACCAAATTTCAGCGAATTCGATTTAAAAACGCGCCGTACCGTTATACTGCAGATAAAAACTCCATGCAAGATGTTGGCGATCTATCTCCATTGCTTCAGAAGATAGCGTGATTACAAAAGACGGATGGATGTGTCGGAAATGAATATTTCGATGAGTTACAAACGGAATGACAAAATTAATATACCCTCCATACTATGGTGGAGGGTATAAAAATTTCAACATATGACATATGTTCTGTTGTCATGATATCGTAACAACAAATCAATCAATGATATGCATTCTTATACGTTGGAATATATTTTTGAATTTAGTTCTTTGAAAAAGAAAAGCAAATGCAATATTGACAAAACAAATTATTATTCTTTAGAGTCTTTTTAAACAATTTTAAAGGTAATTTAATAGTTTATAAAAATATTGACATTAAGTCTAAATTAGCAAACAGCGGGTTTTTTAGTTCGCAGCATCTGTGCTTAGCACGTATTTTACATGCGAGCTTTTTTTATTATGTTGTCGACAATACGACAACACATTCAGAATTCGTTGCCGACGAGAGTCGTTTTTATGTTTGACCGCAGCCAACGCAGAAATGAAGAACAAACCTTTATAAGGGAATGTCATTTCAGGTTGTGTGTTATTTAGTTAAAACTTTTCAAATCCTAATCAAAAACTGTCGATAATACTAAAAACTAAATTATATATGAAAGAAAAAAAATATTAATCATTGTCTTGGATCGAAAAAATATATTATTATATTATAATTTATGATTCAATAGGCAAAACTGAACTCGAGTAATGTTCGCATTGTGTTTCCTAAAAAATCTTGCTAAGCAGTCGCAGTCATAGTGCTTAGTCTTCATTTTAAGCTTTGGTGATAAGTCGTGCTGTCAGTTATTTTGTTGTAATTTTTGATGTTGTAAGCAATTATTATTTAGAGCCTCATAAATTGACATAACCGTTTCTATCCCACGAAATGTCTTTAATTGTGAAAGTAATTAGGTTTTTTATTATATATTGATCTCCGTTTTTATAGCCCCATATAACGGTAGTCCCACTATTATATGTTTTTAGAATTTCAATATTTTCGGTATAATAACATGAGTTATAAACAAGTGAAATAGCGTTAAGTTCGGCCCGGCCGATACCCTCCACCATAGATATACTGACAGATTATTGAAATCAAAATATAGGGAATATACTTAAAAGTGAACATATACCGATAATTCTACAAACCGGTTTATGTAAACCATAGTGTACAACAAATACAAATGAATTAATGAAAACCCCAAAGCGTGTACTGATACTAATAACGCTTGGTAGAATATACAATCCTCAAACTACTACAATTTATATAACATATTTTAGAAATTAGCGTATATTTGGGGTTATAATTATATGAGGGCTACGCCTAATTAATGACCGACATATGTCAATTTCGAACCCAATATTTTTGGTTTGTGTCTCAATTATTTCCTTCAGGAGGTATAATTATATGGGGGAGATGCCTAAATGCTGGCTGAACTATTTCATTAACATCAGGTTTGAGTTTTTTATCACGATTTCCTTAGAAAGCGGAATGATTACAACCGATGGGTAAATCGTCTTATAATTCCATAATTTGTAGGGTAAAACTGACTATTTCAAGTAACGACTATCCCCTGTACTATGGTAGAACACGTTTATATGGGGAAACCCCGTACACACAGAACTAATCAGCTAACTAGGAATAACCCCAAAAAGGGGCGAATATTAACTATTTTTGGTATGAAAATGTCAGCGAATTCGGTTGATAAACACTTTCAAGAACCCTACAATACCGTTATATTTTGGCTACCAGAAAAAGTGGACCGATATTTATAATTTGTAGTGGAGACATTTGGTACCCAAAATAAACCAATGTACCAAATTTCAGCGAATTCAGTTGAAAAACGCGCTCAAAAACCCCAAAGTACCGAAAATTGGGGGTGCCTTTATATGGGGGCTAACCGAAAAAATGGACTTATATTTATAATTTTTAGTAGAGAAATTTAGTACCCGAAAAGAACCCATTGTTCCAAATTTCAGCGAATTCTGTTTAAAGACGCGCTTAAAACCACCCAAAATACCTTAAATTGGAACGGTACCGTTATATGGGGCTACCAGAAAAGTGGACCGATATTTATAATTTGTACTGGAGACATTTGGCACCAAAAAATAACCCAATGTACGCGCTCAATAACCCCAAAATATCGAAAAGTGGGCGGTTCCCTTATATGGGGGCTATAATTAAACGTGGGCCAATATAGCCCATCTTCGAACTTGATCTGCCTGCAGACAAAGGACGACTCTACGCAAAATTTTGGCCATCTATCTCAATTCCTTCAGAAGATAGCGTGATTACAACATACGGATAGACAGACGGACGGACATGGCTAGATTGGCCTAGAATTTTACCCTGATCAAGAATATACGTACTCGGAAATGAATATTTCGATGAGTTACAAACGGAATACCCCGGAATACCAATACCCAGTCCGACTATACTGCTCCGCTCACTGGATTAAACATTAGCAATTTTAATCCACCATGTGAAACATAGGAAACTTCAATGTGAAATCGAAAAACGATCATTTTTGTGGAGTGATACTAAAAATTTAGAAGAAAATCCTGGAACAAATTAAAAACGCTAAAAAAGTGCTAGGTGCGAGATATTTTTTTTTGTGCTAAACGATCTTAAAAATTGCTAAATCTAACACTAAAAGTGCTAAATTGGCAACACTTCACATAAGTTACCCTTTGCGATGTACGTGGAAATGTCGATTCTAGACAAGTAGTGCATGAACCTTGAATAATAAGACTATCTCCTATGGACAGATGGCAAAACCACCTATGTTGAGTTTTAATCTTAACACTAGAAAGACGGGAATTTTGTATATACCTATATTCATCGGTCAAAATGACTTCACTCTGAAAAAATTTTTATTTTGTAAAGAATTTTTTTTAAACTTATTTATTAATATTTTTTACATTATTTACAATCATATAAAACGTTGTTATTATTTGTTTTATGGGGGAGGGCTCTCGAGTTTCCCTTTATGAAAAATAAGAACGCGGACAAAATGTTAAAAAAAGAGGAAGTCTTTACTCTAAGAGTGAAATCGACTGGAAATATAAAATTTATTTTTCCCGATTTGTGTGTTCGTTTGTGTTTCTAGAGTATCAAATGGTTTTCGATGTTGTTGTAGTGATCTTGTCATATAAGAAATTTACTTTATACAATAATAAAAGTTGTTTAATTATTTAATATTTCACAAAAAGTCAAAATGACCGCTTTTAGGCTATATAGGTATAGCACATGTGAATACGGGGAATGAAAGAGGGGAGGAAGCAGCTACTATGATTAATAAACGTAGTTCTATGTGGTACAAAAAGTCACCAAATTTTAAAAAGCTGGGTCATAATATACACAATTGTTTTTGTACTTGAAATTGAAAAACGGTCAAAATGACTGCCTTCGGCTATCTAGTGTTAATTACAGTCACAAATGACGTTATGTTATCATAGTTAAATCATATAATGTTTATAATGCGGAATTGTTCGTTTATCAGTCTCCATGTTGTGTAAAAAATTCAGATGAATATATTTTTCACACACTGATTGAGAGCTCTAGAATTCCCTTTGTTTCTTGTAAGGTGTGAGTAAATTTAAAACCTAAACCCCCTTTACTGCAACATCTTTTTTATTTATGCTGGCCTTGCAGCATATGAACGATATATCATACTATGATTTTTTCACATAACGAAATTATCTTTCTTGTAGACACATTCGCGTTTACTGAACTACGATCTAATGGCAAGCAAAATAGTTTGAATGAAAAAAACTGGAATTTTCACGGTATATCGCCGAACAAAGAATGCAATGAAAATTGTTTTTGTCGTTTTAGTGTGAGATAGTTATATTGAGTACAATTTTTCGTTGACCATCGTTATATAAGCAACACAATGTAGTGGAATTGCTCCATCGTTAAACCGAAGTTTCACTGTATATTGTAAAATATATACTCACCAAAAAGTTCCAAAAAAATATTCGGCGCAAAGATTTAAACTTAAGACATCAGCATTGTTTCTGTCTGTAAGAATCATTGCTCATTTCTCTTAAACTTTTATGAAGAACAATATATGAATTGTTTGGCAGGTGCATTATTAGAATCTCATTTCCTCAGATGGCTTTTAAAATTGTTTCTTTTGCCATGCAATAGAATTATTTATACTATGTGTGCATTTTTATACATATGTATGTAAAATCGGCATGTATGTATTTTTTGTACGAGAACGAACATCTCGTTGATGGTATTTTAGTAGAAAAACATCACATTGCCCTTAGTTCACATTCGCCAATCAAAAGGGTAGCTGTGTTACAAAATTATTGAAAAACAATAAAGCGTTTAAATGTGTTAAATAGAAAAAGTGAAAGTTGTAAGGACAAATTTGAGGTACTGAAACGTGTATGTCTGAATACTAAAAAGTGCCAAAAATAGAAATGAAAACAACGACGAATTCGAGAAAACGATGCTTTTTAATTATGACACATAAATAACGTTTTATCGGGTTCTTCATAATCGACTTTTTTAGCGCTTGGTGTAAAAACGGCAATACACAGCCAATGGAAATTGTCGAGTTTTTATACAATATAATATTAAACTAGCAGGCAAGCACAACAAGGAAATGGGTGATACAAAACAGGTCTATATTTTAAATAACAGCATTTTTATTATTTTCATATACAAAAATCAGATACGCATACATATTTGTCTAGCTAATACATTGCTAGATGTAGATGTTTAGAAAAACCTTAAAGGACGGCAGGTATTCCTTCGAGATTTAAAACTTCAGACCTTGAAGTGATACAAAATTTTGTTTGTGTGTTGTGGTCATGACTACAACGGAAATATACAATTTAAATGCCTTTTGTTATCATATCATAACAACAGAGCGGGCAATGTTAAGTTTTTAAGCCTCTGTAACCACTCATGTAAAGCGTCCTTAATTTTTCGAGAAATTATTTGTCTAGTCTTTATAATTTATTGTCTTTGTAAATACTCTACTTTACGTTGTTTAAATGTTAATGTAAACATCATATTTTTCACGCATTGGTGGATATCTTCATTACTTCTTATGATTGCTATTTTTTTGAAACAGTTTTCTTAATTTAACGACCGTTTAAACTATAGGGGTTATTTATTTGTGATTAGTTTTATTAAAGGCAAGACGTTAAGTTAAAGATAATGGAGTATGCTTTATATGAAATAAAGCAGTCATCAGGACCATTGATAAAAAATTAAATTAATGTTGCACAAAGAATTTTATGTTATATATATATATATATGGGAAATTACAAAATTCTTTTCAAATTCAATAAAAAAAAATTGAAAAATTTTTTTGCGAGCACATTCATGGTTTTTGGAAAAATATGCTGATTCGAAATATGTTCGCGTTCACAAATTCGGAAGCTGCGCACAAAAGTTATAGCGATTTTAAATCTTGTATTTCAAGTATAAATTAAAATAATTCCTATTTGTTGTTATTCTCGAATTTCACAAATGGTTAAACACATTTGTTTTCTTTGCATACTTGTCAAATCACATTAAATTACGGTTAAATTGTCGCGAAAAACAAATAGAAGCATGAAGATATCTGAAAATAAAATAAATTAATTTTTTAATTAAATCGAAATGTTTTCTGAATTTTCGATTTTTTTAGTATGGTAAGGGAATACGGTTTTGCCTCAGTCTTCTAAAATATGCGACGCTTTTCAAATTCTTTTAGATGATTGTTAAATATCGGTATATTCATCTGAAAATAGTTTCGACTGTAAAAATCACTAAACTACAATACATAAAATTTATCAATATTTAAAAGCATGCAATTCGCGTATTAATCGAAATCAGTTGACGCGCATGCAGTTTTCGTATAAACCGAATCAATGTCTTTCAATAATTATGAATTTTTCGATGTTTAATTTAGCGGTCAAAGTGTGCCGCTCGATGCACTTTACTAAGCAAAAACCCAAAAAATGGCTAAAAATCACACAACGTGCATACAATTTTTATGCGCATCCGATTTCAGTAATCTCCTATGAAAATACACAAAAGAACATCTATTTTAAAAGGATCGGTTAAGATCACATGTGCGTGCGTTGTGTAGTTTAGCCACAAATCAGGAACGAACACAAAAAAACTCGTTGGCTTCAACACATTTTCACCCATTTTTCTACATTACCACCATCACAGCTTCCACCAAACTTTCTAGATTTTAATATTTTTAAGATTTTGACAAGAACACTTCATTTTATAGAAATGAATTTAAATTAAATGCAATATGTTCATATTTCGCGAGTTATAACCTTGCAAACCTCAGTTTCAGGGAATTTAAAAGATTTTTTTAATTTCCCATATATATAATCAAAACAAAAAGGTAATAGGAAAAATATGCTATTTGAACCAAATTTGCTGAAGAAACATGGCAAATCTGAAAATCATATTTTTAATTCCATTTTGATTTTTTCTTGTTTTCCACTTGCAACTAGGAAAAATTATAATATCCAATATTTTTAGAATGATATATAAGCTCTTTTACTAGGTTTGCTCGTAAAAATGTACGAGAACAAAGTTAATGTTAACAAATAACAGCTGACAATTTTTTAAATCATATAAACGTATAAATTACGTATAATTAACACAGTTTCTACTTTTAGCCAAAGAATGCCACCAACTAATTTTAATATCTATAAAATATATGTATGTTAATTAAAATAAGAATAAGTAAAATGTTACTCGTTCGCACATAAATGCACTTTAAAATACATCCTTATTATTAAAGTAGCAAATGTAATATGCAAATATTAAGGGACTAAAATATGCCTGTCTTTATAGTATTCTAATGATAAATCATATATATTATTTTTGTTTCATGTAATTATTTGTATGGAATTTTGTTCGTGTATATGTAATAATAAACAGAGACGTCGCCCATCTATAGACGTTCGTCGTCCGAGCGTACAGGATCTGGAAGATCTAATTAACAAACCATCAACACCTTTGCATGCAACTGGAGATGGAGGCCCACCGCAAATTGTGGATGTACAAGAATCGTATTCTGTGGTGGAGGGTAAGTTTTTTAGCGTGTTAAATCAAAAATATTTTTTTGGACAATCGAAAAAATAAAGTGACATGGTTTGTAAAGTTATAAAAAATGTTTTAAAAAAACCAAGCACGTATGTAAATTTCAAATATTACTGAATTTTTTGTTTCTTGTATAGACTCGACAGCATACATGACAGTGGGTATTGAAGGAAATCCTGCTCCAACATTTAAATTTTACAAAGGTGTTAGTGAAATTCTGGAGGGCGGCCGTTTCAAATTTTTGACTGACGGGCAAACCAACACAATTACACTTTGCATGCGAAAATGTAAGCCTAACGATGAAGGGAAGTATAAGGTTGTTGTATCAAATATACATGGAGAAGATACAGCTGAAATGCAATTGTATGTTTCGGATTCAAGTGGCATGGACTTCCGCGCTATGCTAAAGAAACGTCGTTATCAAAAATGGGATAAAGAACAAGAAGATCCAAATTGGGGAGATCTTAAAGAGACAGAGAAACCTATTCCCGCACTAAAAAAAGTTGAAAGGGTAAGATGCTTGAACTACAAAAAAACATAATGAGACTAGTAAAACTATTAAACGACACAATAAATACAGCAGATAGAGGAACTCGTTGTTAGGATTTACAAATCACGACTTTCAACCTTTTAATAGAAAATGTGCAAAATTGAGGTTAATAGCTTTGAATATTTTTAATAAAATTTTCGCTGCAAGAAATATTATATTCTAAAGAGAGAGAGAGAGTACAATTCTTGAAATTCTCTTTATTTTTGCTCATATTCTATCAATAAACTAGTTTAAAATTAAATTGAGTTATTATATCGAACAGTTGTTTAAAATCTAAACACTTCTTAAAGTAATATAAAATAGCTCAAAATATGTATTGAGGCCTTCGAAAAATTACATTTTCATTTATTGTTTTGACTGATCTGACTACATAACACAATAAACAACTTTGCTTGTATTCGAATAGGTATAAATAAAGGCATAATAACAAAATCGTCATTATAAGTTTTAAATTACGTCAGATAAAATGAAAAATGGAATAAACTCATATAATATCTATATTTAAATCTGAACCAATTCAAAACAATTGGGTGACTATATGTTGTGACTTGTATCGGATATCGGATATATATTAGTCCATTTACATTATTATACATTACTTTTTTACATTTTCTGTAAAAGATTTAAATAACGTGACACTTTTTTGCTTTAATTCTATTTGACATGCTACATTTAATAAGGTAGTTGCAAAAGCGATCGACCATGTTTACAAACTTTTAATTCTGAATATACGTTTTGTAGGTTTCACTCTAGTTCATAATGTTCCGAATTGTTTATATAGATGAAGTATGTGTATTGATTTGAGTTTATGTTATTTAGTGACACATTAACAAAATATTATAAAGAAGTAAATTATACAAAAAATATTTAATAATATGTATATGGGTCAAAATTTACACCACGTCCAAAAGTATGTTCTAAAATTTCACCTCCCATGTTTAAGGTTAAAGAAAGGTATTGCTCAATATATCAGCCATAATAATACATAAAATGAATTTTTTTTTGTTTGTACATCTTGCAGCTGATTATCAGATTATCTGTCAAAATACTTATTTGCCACTTGAATTAGGCGTGCAATGTTGTTGTCTAAGAAAATATATTGCTACAAGAAAACGACTTAATTTCACTAAAACCACAGCTGATTTGCAACAAAAATGTACTTTTTAACGTTTTAAAAACTCAAATGATATAAAAACACTCTTCCTTGTGGCTTTTACTTAGACTACTTCGAAATAACTCGAAACAAAAATTCAAATTAATAAGTGCATTTTAATTTTTAGTCTTTGTTAGCTTGTATTCAATGCCAAAAAACTTTAAACATTTTAATAATCAAGTCATATCTAGCCAGAAAACTATTTCTTAAAAAAATATACAATAATATTTTATACAAATATCGATAATTGGCATTGAATAACACATTCTTGTTGCATCATTAACAGAACGTCTTAAGCATGTCTATTAATAAGGCCACCCAGCTGGCGAAAGTCAACTGTTTTTCCTTAAGTCTAATGTCAAATTTTTTGACTTTGTTTACGTTTTCATAAAGGGAGTCAATTCACAATAATAGATTTTGACAGCAAACTCGAGAGGCAACTGATATGGTCCTGAGCGACCTTATTAATAGATCTTGGTCTTAAAGTAGAATTAGTTTGGTTCGATCAGCTGATTAATATGGCATTGTGGGTAGTCAGCTCCGCATGGTCTTCTGCATTTTTTATAGATATATTGAAAGTTAGTACCGAAAAAATCGATATTGATAATTATAATACATTTTGACATAAACGTTCATTAAAATTCAACTACTTTGGCGGATACAACAACCATAATAATTCACAATAATAATAATTCGTCATATAAATATTCGTCATGTAAATATTATAAAAGGCAATGTTTCAAGTCGTCTAAAAAGTCATCGAGTACATTAACAAATCAGAAGGGCTAATTCACCATATGTCGTGATCGAATGAGAAATTTGAAAATGTATTATTCTACTATATTCTATTAAACGATCCCGTGGTGTCTGATGAATTGTCTGTTCAATAGTAATGTAGATCAATTTGAATCATTTTGTATAGAAAGTTATAGGTTCATAGTCTCATGTGTGGATAATCGCGAAAATGAGTGACATTTCTAGAAAATTCATTGTTTAATGTTCGTAATATTATTCTTCTTGTTTGTAATATTTATTTTTAGCAATTTTTTACCATTTGATTGCAGAATTGTCAGAGTAGTTCGAATGAAAATAATTTTAACTGCTACAGTTCCATAATTTTTAGAATTGTGGCAGTTCAAATTATCTAGTCTACAAAATTAAGAATTGCCTTTGGTAAATCATAGCTTCCCTTCCTATAAACTCGCAATCGACCGCTGATAATAATCGATCATTTTATAGAAATGATAACAATCATTATTTTTATTGAAAATTCCTCGAAAAAACACAATTTGCAAAATTGACCTAAAAGGGCAGTGACTGTTATTCAAATTGGCTAGTGTGTGTTAAATATAAAAAAATAAATATGTATATTCAATAATCTACGACCAATAACAAATACCGGAGGCATATTTGATTTTAAGATCTTTTTACAAATAAATAGCCAGGAACATCGAGGAGGCCGTCGTTGGCTGAACTGATACCAGATTGGCCAATACTACAACCATTTCGACGAGAAGAGGTTCGATATTTATTAAATAGAATTAGGATTTTCTCAATTGAATTGCAAATTATTCAACAATTTTTACAATATAGTGACATTTGGGTTCGAATTGGTTTTTGATTCATTATTTTTATTTGAGATTATTAATAAATAATTGTAAATGTCAAAGGTTGTTGATCAATAAATTGATTATACACCTACAACTCCAATAACTATACATTAAAAAGGTATTTTTGGTTTGACATGAATATTTTTGAATTGATGTATATTTTTTGAATTGATTGATGTTTTTGTATTGGGTTAAGATGTGTCAAAATAAACAATTGTGTATAATTGTATTTTGAATTGTGATTTTTTGTGATAAACTCCCAATTTTTGTTTTTTTTTTTTAATATATCGTCACGTACAATCGCACGTGGTCAAATAATAGCCTCCTATATGTTTTTTTGTATTTCGCAAAATATATCTTTCTTGTCCCAGTTTTTGACAACGAATAATAATAATGCAAACATTAATAATTTGTTTTCAACATTTGCGGAAAATCTTGAAATGACTTGATTCGTACTTCGGAAATTGTTCTGTAATGTAGAAGCAAGAATCGTTCCTGAGTCCATTAATTGACCAGTTCGCTAAGGAGGGTAAAGACAAAAAAGTCGTCTTTGAAGCCCGTTTTTCAAAGCCAAATTGCAAACCAAAGTGGCTGTTTCGTAAAGATGTAAGTATGCCGTAATTGAACCTAAATTTATTTATTTTACCTATGCTGATCACAGTTTAAAAGATTAATATATAATTACATACTATTGTCAAGTACATCTTTTCAAAAGAAAAATCAACCGTATTTTCACTTAAAATGTTTGAAATTGACAGAATTATATGCCTTGATAAATATAAGGAATATTATTCTTAAAATAATTGTGCTGGATAAATCTTACAACAAGAAATTTATTCAGTGACTATTTAAATTAATATAATTTTTAATATTGTTAAGTCTTGCATAAACTTTTGTTATTAAATATGTTTACTTTATTCGCACTTACCTTTCATTTATAGTTTTTGTAAATTTTCTTTTTTTTCAATAGTTTTTGTAAATATATTTCTCAATCTAATAATAATATTAATTACTATTATTTATCATTAATATTATTTCGTTTTAATTTATGAATAATAATAATAAGGATTTAATTCACATGTCTCAATTTTATGATGTAAAACCATTGATTTGATTTTGATCGAAATGTGTAAATTAATAAATAATTATTTTGAAAAGATGGTGATGACAAATTGTAGGTATGCTATATTCATTTACCAAATGATAAAAGATATGTATCTGAATTTTGCGGTAAATTCTAAACTTTTCTATTTCAAAAAGGAATGTTTCCCTGGAAGCAAGTTTAAATTTAAAAACGAGAACGATACGTACCAGCTCATTATATCCAATCCGAAAGTTGAAGATACCGGCAAGTACACAATTGAAATTGGTGGTGTTTCGAGCACAGCATTTCTTAACGTTGAAGAAGCTGATCCATCTTACACATTTACTAAGCCCTTGAAGAAGAAATTGGAAGGATATACCCAACATGAAACTACTCTGGAATGCTCCGTTAGCAGTAGCATGGCTAATGTCACCTGGTTAAAGGATGGCAAGAAGATTGAATCGGACGACGCCAGATATCTTATTTCCAAAGATATAAATGGCAATCTTAAACTTATTATCAAAGAGTGTGTCCTGGAAGATAGTGGCGTATACACATGTCAGTTAGATAAACAACCTGATAAGACTGAATGCAAATTAAAAGTTGTGGAGTATCCCTATAAATTTGTTAAAGTATTAAAGTCACAGAAATGCGTGGAAAAGGATACTGTTACATTGGCGTGTGAAATAGACGATGCCACAGGCGAAGTGCAATGGTGGCGCAACGACGAAGAAATTAAACCCGATAAGCGTATTCAAATTATAAAGGATGGACGTAAACGTAAGCTTATTATCAAAGACGCCAAAGTGTCCGACTCTGGAATGTTTAAATGTACAACTAATGCTGACAAGACTGAAGCAGAACTTATAATAAATTGTAAGCATTAAAATAAGTATATGTGTTTAGGCATTATAACAACTTACCTAAACATTACAGATCAAAATCGGTTTAACAAGCAGCTTAAGAATACAGACGCAGTAGAACGCGAAAAACTTATTCTAGACGTTGAATTACAAGACCAAACAGCACCTTGTGAATGGAAATTTAATGGTGAACCTATTGAGCCTAGCGATAGGATTGAAATAAAAAATCTCGGTGGTGGTAAACATCAATTAGTTTTTAATAGCTTAGAATTAACTGATGCTGGAGACATTTCTTGTGAATCCGGCCAGCTTATATCATCATGTAAGCTCACAGTTCGTAAAGGCGAAAGTAAACCTAATATAGATTGTCCGAATGAATTCTGTGGTCCAATATCTAGCCCTGTGATAGTTGAGGTGCCATACAAAGGTAAGTAATATAAAAATAGACATTGCATATATTAACCCCTTTCTCGTGATAGTTTCCGGCACAAAGCAAACTCCAGTTGAAGCCAAACTCATAAAGGATGGTAAAATTTTGCCAATAAAGGATGTTGAAGTAGCAATAACGGACGACAAAGTTACATTCAAAATTAAAAAACCTTCTCGCAATATGTCAGGTCTATACCAAATTAAACTTTCTAACGGTCAAGGTGATGATGTAAAAGACGTGAATATAATTTGCCAAGACGTACCGGATAGTCCGAACAATATTGACGTAACTGATGTTTATCAGACTTCGTGTAAAATCAACTTCAGCCCCCCGAATGATGATGGTGGATCACCCATTACAAAATATGTTATTGAGAGACAAGATCTAAGTAAGAAACAGGCATGGGAGACAGTATCAGAGGTGTTACCCACGGAACCACTTACAAAAGATATTATAGATCTTATACCAAAAAAACAGTACAGGTTCCGTATTCGTGCTATTAACGCAATTGGATCCTCCGAGCCCGCAACATTCAAAAACACAATTTTAGCAAAGGATCCATGGGACGAACCAGGAAAGCCAAGGAATGTAGATTTAACTGACTGGGATAAAGATCATGCAGATCTCAAATGGGATGTACCCGAAACTGACGGCGGTGACAAAATTACGTCCTATGTCATTGAGTATAAAGAGAAATTTTCCAATGATTGGGTCACCGGCAAAGAAGTTTCAGGCGAGGAACGTACTGGTACCGTAGACGGTCTTAAGGAAGGACAACAATATGAATTCAGAGTTCGTGCTGTTAATAGGGCAGGACCTGGTGAACCTAGCGATAAAACTAAATCCATCATTGCAAAATGTCGATTTGTCAAACCGTTTATTGTGGGAGACGACCTAAAAAATATTACAGTTAAAAAGGGACAAACTGTACGCTATGAAATAAAGTACGATGGTGAACCTGAACCTGAAGTTTCATGGTATAAAGGAACACAAAGATTGGTATTTGACAATCAACGTATATGTTCCCACCAAATGGAAAGAAACACTTCAATAACAATCAAAAAAGCCTTACGAACTGATACTGGGGTTTATAAACTAGTTCTCACAAATAGTTCAGGAACTTTCGAAACACAAGCTCAGGTCACCGTTTTGGACCGGCCACTTTCTCCGCGGGGGCCATTGGAACCAAAGGAAGTACGTGCCGATCATATTACAGTTACGTGGAAACCTCCAGAAGATGATGGCGGTTGCGAAATTACTGGCTATGCAATGGAAAGAATGGATGAAGAAACTGGCCGTTGGATTCCTGCAGGTGAAGCCGGTCCCAATGATACTTCATTTAACTTCAAGGGCCTTACACCAGGGAAAAAATACAAATTCCGAGTCAAAGCAATCAACAAGGAAGGAGAATCCGATCCTCTGGAGTGTACGGAGCCTATCTTAGCGAAAAATCCATACGATCCTCCTAGTGCACCTGGAAAACCTGTTATAGATGATTATGACAATAAGAGTGTGCTTCTGAAATGGAAAATTCCACCATCTGACGGAGGTCGCCCTATATTGCATTACGTTATAGAACAAAAAGACAAGTTTTCTCCCACTTGGGTTGAAGTTGCCAAGACCGATGATGCGATACCCCAATGTACAGTCGAAAATCTTAAAGAGAAAATGGTATATAACTTCCGTGTAAAGGCAGTTAATAAAGCCGGTCCATCAGAACCTTCGGAACCAACTGATAACCATCTTTGCAAACACAAAAACTGTAAGTATTTATGGTAATAGCACAGCATTTTATGTTTCATAAAAGCTTTGTAGTATGCATTATTGATGCTAATATCCTCACATGAACCGCAAAGATTTTTAAATAAGTAAATACATAAAATTATCAAAAATACATTATTGTATTTTTTCTGAAATTATCATAAACATATTAATGCATTAAAAACAATATATGCTTCTTTAATAACTAGCGCAACTTTTGGCAATGCTTTTGATTGATTTAAAAATTTGTATTAAGTCGTACAATTGTCAATTTCCTTCTCGGAACAGTGAAACCCCAAATAGACCGGTCAACGTTTAAGCGTGTAACTATAAAAAGCGGGCGTACCCACAAATGGTCTGTGGATGTTTCGGGTGAACCAGCTCCAGTTCTAAATTGGAGCTGGCGGGATAATGTTCCGTTGACATCCGGAGATCGAATTAAGATAGAGCTTTCAGATTATCACACAGATTTCACCATAACAAAAGCTATGCGAAAAGATAGTGGCAAGTATACATTAAAAGCTGAAAATCGTGTGGGAACAGACACAGAGACCGTAGAACTCATTGTTTTGGGAAAGCCCAGTAGCCCTAGGGGTCCCCTTGCCGTTAGCGATGTTACCGCTACAGGCTGCAATTTACAGTGGAAAAAGCCAGAAGATGATGGTGGTGTTCCTATAAAAGAATATGTTATAGAGAAAATGGACACCGCTACTGGTAAGTGGGTTCGCGTTGGCCGCTCTCCAGGAGAAAAGGAACCACCAAGTTTTGCAGTGTCAGGATTAAATCCTGGATCCGAATATATGTTCCGAGTATCGGCAGTGAATGAAGAAGGAGAGTCTGAACCACTAACAACCCTAGTTGGTGTCGTCGCTAAAGACCCATATACTGAACCCAATAAACCTGGGGCTCCTGAAGTTACTGATTACGATAATGAGAGCGTATCTCTAAAATGGTCAACCCCATCAAATGATGGTGGTGCCCCTGTCGAAAAGTATATCATTGAAAAGAAGCCTAAGAATCAGAAGACTTGGGAAAAGGCTCTCGAAGTATCTGGCGATCAATTGGAGGCCAAAGTCAAAGATTTGCAAGAATATGAAGAGTATCAATTTCGTGTTATTGCCGTTAATAAAGCCGGACCTTCGCAGCCCTCTGATGCCAGTGCCCCACAAATAGTTAAATACAAAAAACGTAAGTAAGATTGGTCTTAACAATGACTTTTAGAATTAGCAATGCGCAATAAGTTCGCTAATATGATCATATTTTAATAAACATAATACATTATTTTGTCGCACTTTTAGTAAAACCACGTATTGATCGCACCAACCTAAAACCACTGCTTATTCGTTCTGGTAAACCTATTAAGTACGACATAAATGTACGTGGTGAACCCGCTCCAACAATAATATGGTATCAAAATGACAAAGAACTTAAATCTGAGGAATTGCCCTCTAACTGTGAAATTCAGAACATACCATACAATACAAAACTATCCATAACAGATTCAGTTCGACAACACTCTGGAATATACAAAATACGTGCAATTAACGAACATGGCGAGGATGAAGCTACGGTTGAAGTAAATGTTTTAGGAGCTCCGGGGAAACCTAAAGGTCCTTTGAAAGTTGATAACATAACAAAAGATGGTTGTAAATTAAAATGGAAAAAACCTGAAGACGATGGCGGGAAACCGATAACTGCATACCAAGTTGAAAAATTCGACAAAAAACAAGGGCGGTGGATACCTGTTGGACGTATTCCTGGATCAGAGACTGAAATGGACGTAAAAGGGTTGCAGGAGGGTCACGAATATCAGTTCCGTGTTAAAGCTATAAATGACGAAGGAGAGTCTGAACCACTTGAAACTGATACTAGTATTATAGCTAAAAATCCATTTGATGTTGCTGATAAACCCGGTAAACCTAAAATAGAAGATTACGACTCGCACTTCATAAAACTTTCATGGGAAGCTCCAAAACATGATGGCGGAGCTCCGATAACTGGTTATGTAATCGAAAAGAAAGATAAATTTTCTCCCCATTGGGATGAAGTTCTGTCTACTGACGTAAGTAGTATCACTGATTTTTTTTTGTATATACATTGTATTTTGATGTTAAATATATCCAAATTATTGTAGTCGCCTTCCACAGAAGCAAAAGTTGACGGACTCGTTGAGGGTAACGTTTACCAGTTTCGAGTTAGAGCCATTAATAAGGCAGGTGTTAGTGAGCCTAGTGTGGCGTCTGAACCACAAGTGGCAAAACCGAGAAATTGTAAGAAAATTCTTTAACAAACGCCAGTTTTGCGCATTTTTTATTTTTATTTTGCTGTCCATATAAAGCAGAGACATACTTAAAAGCTTTTATGCATATATACGATAACTGCCATAATAATTTCTCATCGGAATTTTATATATTTTAATAAATGTTTATATTACAGTGAAACCACTTATAAATAGAGAAAAAATGAAGCCAATAAAGGTACGGGCAGGACAAACAGTTAAATTCGACGTTGACGTAAAAGGTGAACCATCTCCTACGCTGGTTTGGACTTTTAAGGATGCAGAAGTTATACCAATTGAGGGAATTCGTATTGAAACTGAGGAATATAATACAAAAATAACATTCTTCGATGTTACCAGAAAAGAAAGTGGCACATATAAACTGACCGCTGAAAACATAAATGGACGTGATGAGGCGGAAGTTGATGTCATTGTACTTGACAAACCATCAAAGCCAGAAGGTCCCCTAGAAGTTAGTGATATTTATAAGGACAGCTGCAAGTTAAAATGGAAAAAACCGAAAGATGATGGTGGTGTTCCCATTTCTGGTTATGTCATAGAAAAGTTAGACACTGCGTCTGGTAAATGGGAACCAGCAGGCACAGTAGATCCTGAAAAAACAGAATATGACGTCAAAGGCCTTGAACAAAATCATAGGTATCAGTTCCGTGTTCGAGCAGTTAATGAGGAAGGAGAATCGGATCCTTTAGAGACGGACTCAGCAATTACTGCAAAGAATCCGTTTGACGTTTCGGCACCACCTGGCCTGCCAGAATTGGAAGATTGGGATGAACACCATGTTAAATTAAAGTGGGAACCACCAATTCGAGATGGTGGTGCTCCCATAACCAGCTATACAATTGAAGTCATGGACAAGGATTCTGGCGAGTTTGTAAAAGCTTTGGAGACTGATGGTCCTATTTGCAAGGGCACAGTTAAAAAACTACAAGAGGGTCAACAATATAAATTCCGTATTAGGGCTAATAATAAGGCTGGTGCTTCTGAGCCATCAGAACAAACCAATTGGCATACAGCAAAACCTCGATTCCGTAAGTATATTTGTAAGAATACTCAATAATTGTTTTTAAAATATTTATTTTTTATAGTTAAACCTTATATTGATCGTTCCAAACTCACACCATTAACCGTAAAAGCTGGATTATCCATAGACTTGGATATCAATGTAAAGGGTGAACCTGCGCCAAAAGTTGAATGGTTCTTTAAAGATCGTCCTTTAGATAATGAAGAAATTAAAATTGAAAATGTTGACTACAATACAAAATTATTTGTAATGCGTGCAAAACGTCCTATGTCGGGCATATATACAATAAAAGCAAGTAATGAGGTAGGCGAAGACATTGCTGAGCTTGATGTAATGGTTTTAGGAAAGCCTGGTAAGCCTAAAGGGCCATTGAAGGTTGACAACATTACTAAACATGGTTGCAAACTCAAGTGGGAACCACCAGAAGATAATGGCGGTGCTCCTATCGATTATTATGAAATTGAAAAACTAGATCCTCATACCGGTCAATGGTTACCATGTGGAAAAAGTTCCGAACCAAATGCAAAAGTTACTGGTTTACAGGAAGGAAAGTCATATAAATTCCGTGTTAGAGCAGTCAACAAAGAAGGAGAATCTGAAGATTTAGAAACAGAGAAGCCTATTATAGCGAAGAACCCTTATGATGAAGCTGAAAAGCCTGGTAGACCGGAGCCCACTAACTGGGATAAAGACTTTGTTGAATTACAATGGGATCCACCAAAGAGTGACGGTGGAGCTCCAATTGAAAAGTACATTATACAAATGCGCGATAAGTCCGGTAGGTCGTGGGTCGACGCTGCTATCACTCCAGGTAATTGTACCAATGGAACAGTGACCAATGTTGAAGAAGGCCACGAATATGAATTCAGAATAGTGGCAGTAAACAAAGCTGGCCCAAGCGAACCAAGTGATGTATCCAAGTCAGTCGTGGCTAAACCTAGACATCTTAAACCGCGCATTGATCGAAAAAATTTGCAGAAAAAAACCTTGAGAAGTGGCCAACTATTACACATTGAGTCTATAGTGAATGGCGAACCACCGGCAGTAGTAACGTGGACATTCAACGGTGAAGTGCTGAAAACAAGTGATAGAATTAAAATTGAAAACGAAGACTACAAAACAACATTTATTATACCAAAAGTAAAGCGGTCTGATAAAGGCATTTATACGGTCACTGCCAAAAATGATTCCGGAACTGATATTGTTGAACTTGAGTTAGAAGTTTTATGTAAGCCAAAAGCACCAAAAGGACCACTTGTGGTTTCTGACGTATCTTCAGATAAAGTTACTTTAAAATGGGAGAAGCCAGAAGATGACGGTGGTCAACCAATAGAAAATTACGTTGTCGAGCGTATGGATACTGAGACAGGTCGATGGGTTCCCGTTTTAACTACGAAAAATCCAGAAGCGGAAGTTACTGGCCTTACTGAGGGAAAAGAATATATGTTTAGAGTGAAGGCAGTAAATTCAGAAGGTGAATCAGAGCCATTGACCACGGATGTCCCTACACTGGCTAAAAATCCATTTGATACAGCAGACCCTCCAGGAAAACCTCAAATTGTGGATTGGTCTGAAAAACATGTTGACCTCAAATGGAAGGTTCCAGATGATGATGGTGGAGCTCCAATCACAGGTTATATTATTGAAAAGAAAGATAATAATACTGGTAAATGGCAAAAAGCATTGGAGACTAAAACTCCAGAAACTACTGCGCGAGTAAATGATTTGATTGAAGGAAATAAATACCAATTCCGTGTCAGGGCTGTTAACGATGCTGGTGAAAGTAAGCCGTCAGAGGCCTCGGAAACTTTATTAGCAAAATGCCGATTCGCCCCACCTAAAATTGATCGGACAAATATTAAGGATATTACTACTAAATTTGGCACACACGTACGATTAGATATTAAAGTATCTGGCGAACCACCCGCTGTTAAAACTTGGTTCCATAACAAAGCTCGCATTGAAGGCGATGAAGTTACAATTGACTTAGAACCATATAAAACGAAGTTTACCATACCTTTCGCAAAACGTTCACATACAGGAAAGTACACAATCAAAACAGAGAACGAATCTGGACGCGATGAAGCTTCATTTGAAGTCAATATACTTGATCGACCAGGTCAACCTGAAGGCCCTCTACGCATTACTGATGTTCACAAAGAGGGATGCAAACTGAAATGGAATCCACCACTCGACTCTGGTGGGCTTCCAATCGATTATTACATTGTTGAAAAAATGGATGTTGAAAGTGGTAGATGGTTACCTGCTACACGAGTAAAGGATCCACACGCAGAAATAAACAATTTAGTAGAGGGACAAGAATACAAATTCCGTGTGGTAGCCGTAAATACGGAGGGTGAATCAGAACCATTAAACGGAGATCATTCGATCATTGCTAAAAATCCGTTTGACGTCCCCGGTAAACCTAGTGCACCAGAACCAGTGGATTGGGACAAAGATCATGTGGATATTGTTTGGAAACCTCCAATTACGGATGGTGGATCTCCTATTACTGCATACTCCATTGAGAAGAAGGAAGATGGATCGGATAAATGGATAAAAGTATTGGAAGTGTCTGCCCCACTTCAAGGTGAAGATTGCAAGGCAACAATTTCGTATTTAGATGAAAACTGCAAATATGAATTTAGAGTTAGAGCCATAAATGCTGCAGGTAGTGGGGAACCTTCCAATGCCAGTAAATCAGTCATAACGAAACCATCAAAACGTGAGTAAACTATACAAGCCATTCTCAAACATTTACCAAAACTATAATAAATGCTTCTATTCATTGTATATGGGCATTTCAAGGCAAACGGTAAACCAAAGTAGAGGAATTTGTTTCTTTAATTGTGCTTAAATACGTGAAGTAACGGCAAAAAGTAAAAAAAAACACCACATTTATCATTTTTTCTTCTTGTTCTTACCATAAATACTAATTAATTCATTTCATATTTTGGTAAACCATATGTTACGTATATGTTACCACTTAACCTAAACTACACTTGAATTTAATGAATATAAATGCAGTCAGAGCAGAAATAAAAATTGCAAAAAAAAAATCAAAAATGTAGCGTGAGTTACGTCGCGTGAGTGACCGAGAAAAATCTTTCGCAAATAAAGGATAGGCCAAACTTTGAAAGTGCAATAATAATGCTTGATATCTCTGATTCATGTAAAGAATATTTAATGTTCAAAATGTTCACACAATTCGTAGAGTTTTGTCATTATCAACAATAATGTCTAAAGTCATGTATATTTGAAGTCGTAAGTGACCGCTCTTTTGTTATCTTATCTCAAAAGATAAAAGCCGAAGGCCCTTAAATTTACCACTGATAGTACTCTAAAGTGTTACAAAGAAGTATTAACCCTTTGAGTCCCGAATTTTTTCCGTAATCATAGAACAATTTTTTGTTCACAGATTTTATGCAACTATCCTAAATAGGATATGAACAAAATTTGGTATCGCCACATCCTTGCATTCGGGAGATACAGTACATTATTTCTGAAAAATAAAAGTCCAATATCGAGAAAACCAAATTGAAAATTGATGGAAAAATCATTCTCTATATTCTTTTTAACATGAATCAAAAATAATTCTGATGGCAGAATTCGATGATATGTGTCGTCCATAATCAGGTGTTCACATATGAAATCCAAAGAATATATATCTACCAGCGGCATATTAAATATAACCTCTAAAACATGTTGTTGCCTGTGGGCTACATTGGGCCACAAAGGGTTAACGAGCCCAGTAAAAATTTATTTATTCAACTAAAAAAATAAGCGTTGGTTTTTAACTGTTAAAATAGTTGTATTTTTTCCGTCAAAAATAAAAATCATTCCAGTTGTTATATTTTTCCTTCAAACATAAAATTCATTTAATATGTTTTATGCATTATTCTGTTTATTGAAAACAGTGTACATATTTTATGGGGGTTTTCTTCAGAACGGATAGCTTCAGAATTCGGTATACATACACAGTCGAATTCAGATAAGAGCACACAGTATTTTTGAAAAAAAATGGGTTAATTGAAACTAATAAGCATGCCATGTACAGACGAGCGTTGTTCGCTCTCTCATTCGTTGTTCGACCCTTATTATGAAGGAATTACTTAGTTCCCCATACAAAATTGTCTGAGCGAACACCAACTTTTGTACGTTGTTCAATTCGAATCACTCTCTGAATAACCAATAAATTTGTCCCATCCCTAACAATTGAGAGTGTTTATCGAAAATAAATTAATTTTGACAGTTTGAAAATATTTATGAAATTTTCAAACTTTTTCAGTAAAATTGAAAATCATGAATGAAAAGTAAAAAATTGTATAGTTTTTATATATGCAGCAGGATGTAAATTTTATTTTCTACATAATGCAATATGCATTTCTTTTCCCTTGGTTCTAATTAGCGTACAAAACAAGAAACAAATGTGGGGCAACTCAAACAAAAAATTCTCCAAATTTTTATTTGTGACAGTATGTGACATTTGAATTGAGAAAATATAAAAATGTATTAAAAACAACAACATTTTCAGAAAAAATGGAAAACATGAATGAAAAGTAAATAGATATGGGTTCATACTATAGTCAGGAGAAAGAGAATTATTTTTTCTATTTAGATCCCTATGTAATTCACTAAAATATGTTACATTTTTGGTGTAAAACAAGAAACAAAAAGTTTGAAATAAAAAACTCTGATGATATGAATTATGAATAGTGTTGTATGAACGGGTTAATTCATGTACGCAATTCTGAGAGCGAACTACGTTGTTCGGATGCCCGTCAGAACATGGCATTAATTATAGAAGTTAGTTTCATTGGAGAGTCTAATGATGACATCTATTTTAAATTTATTAAGCATGGGCTATTCTTTTTATAATTCTACATTAATATGTGCACATGTTACGCACTGACATAAATACACAGAAAAAAATAATTCGTATATTATACGAATAGTGTTCAGAAAGTGTTGCCAATGTCGGAAACAACTTTTGTTTGTGTTTGATGGTGGCGGTTTTGTATGACACAGAGAAACTATCTTCTAATTTTTTTGATTTTATGTAATTATCTTTTCTTTGTTAGCTCATGTCTTGTTTCTTCTATTTACTTGTTTTACGTCATTAATCATCAATTATATACAAATTTAAACATTACGCTTGTTGCTCAACACACTTGTGCACTTGTTTGACGTATCAAAACTAGCTTGGTATGCAGTAGCTGACATTCTTTTGAGCGCATATGATATTTTTGAGATTTTACAATGAAAACACATTATATATTTTTTTAAACAAAATGGCAAATTTATTTAAGGTATCGAATATCAATAAGAAACAAAAAAAGTTTTTCATACATTTTTTTTAAATAACTAAAACAAGGTTATTATGCAGAAAATCGTTTGAGCGCTGCCATTTTAAAATAAAAATTTACGTTAAAAACAAACTTATTATTAAATTAATAATTTGCATGATGGCAAAGAGTATACCAAATTGTGGACAGTATTTATGTGGGGAATGTATGGAATGATATCTAACGAGCATTTGTTCACATATTTAAGGTAATTTACAAAAGAAAAATTTATGCCGAGTCATACACTCTTCTATAGGATTACAGTCTGGAGGGCCAAGTTTTTATTTACTCCGAGGCTGGATGGAAGCGTTATCCGGGTGAACAATTATATACTTCTCCTCCTTTTAATCAAAATGTGTTATTAAAACGCCGACTAATAATTAAATATACATTTCAGAATACATTTTATATTCGTACGAATATGCAACCCATACCATATGACTTCCCCCAGAAATTCGGCTTCGATCTTACCACATGTTTTTTACATTTATCGTGTATGTTACAACTATAATAATTTGGCCCATCAAAAAAAAAACTTATAATCGTCAGAAAATATAATAATTTTCAGTTTATTTGTCAATGCCATATGCATTTATCGAATTCCACAAATTTGAATAATTATAATAATTATATTATATGAATAATTTATTATAGTAGTGTTGGCGGGTAATTTGGGATACCATTTATATTTTTTGGAAAAATTGCCTGCCTTACCCCTCGTTGAACAATTCCATACATTCCCCACTAATAAATAGTTGTTTTTCATTTTAAAATGAGCTGCGTTCAAAAGATTTTCGTGGCAAAATAAGGCACAATATGCCTTATTTTTAGTTATTTCAAAAAGTGTATGAAACGAATGTCCACTACTGTTTTGCATTTGGAATTTATACTAACATAATTAGGAAAATTCATATTTGAATTTTATAACACCAATGCCTGTAATAAGGAAACAATGGAATACAGAGCTACAGTGAATGGTGAAACTAAGCCTACAAAATTTGTTGAGGCGCACAGGTATCAACAAAACTCCATTCAAATACAGTCCGGATCCTGAATGTAATTCGTAACAAAGACATAGAAACCGTAAAGACTCGACAAAATGAACTTGGACAAAATAGTTTATGAAAAAATATCCAGGGGGAATCAGGCAAAACAGAGGCATGTTACCGTCAATACGCGATAATGTGTGTATAAAATGTAAATAAAATCAGAGATCTGTACTCAAAATATAGGTTTTTATTTTATAAGCTTGCAATATATCATAACAACGGAGGAAAAGTCATCTGTTGGAAATTGTTTACGTATCAATTGTCCTATTTTTATACTTTTATGTCTTTGTGTGTAAACACTGATGGGTAAGAGGTCGCCTAACATTCCAGCGTTAGGGAGGCCACTTAGGAAGGTAGTGACCTAAGAATTGGATATTTTAAGGTGCCATTCTCGCCTCGTCGGTTCTGAGATCATAGGCATCCGGCCTCGGAGACTCTTCCCCAGGTCCCGCTGATTGTCCGCGATTGTTTATATGATATTCACAGCTACTCAAAGAATAATATTGAGCTTCCCACTATCTACTTGATTTAGCATAGGATTTCAAAGAAATTGAGATATGTAATTTTGTATGCTAAAACAATGATCACGAATGAAAAGCTATAGTATAAACGTATCTTTACCATATTTATTTTTTTTTTACAAAAATTTATTTATTTTTAATTGCTCTTATTGTTTTACTATCCTCTGCCCTTTGTAAAGTTTTGAATGAGAAAACCTCAAGGCAGCAGATTGAAAGTCATTTATGAATGATATAACCTTCTGTTGTATTTGTCATGCCAACTAAATAATAATTCATGTTCCTCTTTCTGTTTTATGCTTTCGAAGCGCCATTAGGCCCATATAGCTCTTTTTCTTGGTTTAGATTTTTTGAAAAATTTATTTGTATGAAAAATCATGTTGTTGCCATCAGCAGTACGTACCTATTTAAGGCGGAAACAAAAATTATAGTTTTTGGCAATAAAGCTAAAGCAAGAAAAAAATTCAACATTTGATGACATGAGACTTCCTTCCTTCTCACATATTTAATGCAACTATTCTAAATATGATATGAACAAAATTTGACATCGCTACACCTTGCATTCGGGAGATGCAGTAATTTTTTTCTGGAAAATAAAGAAAACCAAATTCAAAATCGATGGAAGAATCATTTTAACCCTTTGTGGCTCAATGTTGCCCACAGTCAACAAAATGTTTTAGAGCTTATATTTTATATGCAGCTAGTAGATATATATCATTTGGATTTCATATGTCAAGACCTGATTATGGACGACACATATCAATAGAATAATCAAAAAAATTCAAAATTTTGATAAAGTTGTGAGCTTTTTAA